AAACAATCTGCTTTTAAACACGGATGAGAAACAAACAAGTAAACAGTAGTTAACCAGACGTCAGCTGCATCAAGACAACAAGCTGTGATCCATGTCAAATGTTTTCCTGTCTGTTTATTGTGATCATTGCCAGCACTGCACATCCACAAAAGCACAGAGATGAACTGAATACGACAGCGGGTCCAAACATCTCCAGTATTTGTTACTACGTACACAAGGAGGAACTGAATCCCTGCGTCAAGCAAAGACGTATTGGCAAACAAAGATGCTAAATATCACAGCCACTTGCTTTCCATAAAGATTGATTTATGCCGATTGGGAGAAAACAATCGATTTCTAACAAATGGTCAGTTAATCATAATTCTACCAGTTGGGTAAAGTGAACGATGATGTTTTGACGAGATGAAGCCACTACACTGTTGGGAATGTGCATGTACAAGGCACAAAAATCTCTGTCTGCCTTAAAATTAACTGTATTAAACCCACTAAATTAAAGTTATTTGAAACAAACAACAGTAAACTGTTGGTTGGATCATAAACAACTATTCTGTAAATTGAGTGTTGTCTTTATTAATGATGATCATAGTTTGTTATCAAGTAAAATACTGTATTATAAACTAAACTGGCATTATAGTTTGAAGCACTTAATTATGTTTTAGCTATTTTAGTTATTTAGTTGCCAAAATAGAAGCTGTTTACAAAAAGGAATCCCGTATCGCCGTCAGGCAAAAACTGATTTGCATGGATGCCTTTTATTGTGTGCCATGGCCATGTGTCAAATCTGCTTAGGACACATTGAGATCAAATCCTCGACCTTCTGATTGGCACAGCTCCCAAAAGAAAAAGCATCTTAGCAGAAGAAGTCACATTAACATTCTAGTCTCTGCCACAGCTTCACCAGTCCATAATAAGTATTCATGACTTGTCAGTCATCTAAATGGGTTTATGTAATAAATGTCAGAACAAAACATCAAACAAATTAGCAATTTGTCTGGGAAAAACATCATGCACATTTTTCTGTCACCATTGTGCAGCTTATTTTTTCTTAATAAAAGACTACTAGACTTTTTAATGGACAGACTCATTGCCCACATGCCCCTGATTTTGTAAACTATTTTCCATATCTGGTGAAAGTCCTTCTAGCATAGCTTAGCTAGATCCTTGTAGTAATAAGGATTTTATTTAAAGAACTTAAAAATAAACAAGCTAGAAACGTATCGACTGCAAAGGTCTAGTGATGAATTTACATGCAGTACAGTCTGTTCCTTTTAGAAGTGCTGGAATTGTACATGCATGTGATGAGCCAAATAGTCTGTGGTGAAACAATTGTGCTTGCTTGCTTTCTGTAGAGAGACCTTCAGACTTTCAACCAATAGAATGTAACAACTTTGAATTTAAATACTATAAAAATGAAAGCATGTAAATTCATTTCGTTAGTCACCAGATTTTGCTGGATATACAATGGAGAATTGGGCCTCTAAGTCTGTTGCTGGATTCTTGCAAAAGTGTGGTAAGGCCTGACCTGGTACCAATGGCACCGATTTGGGCCCCGTTTATGTAAGCCTTTTTGTTTACCAACAAAGCATTGAGCAGCGATAAATGAAAATTCATCCTGGTGTTCATCAACTTTCCAAAATGTGCCAAAAAAATTCTATTCAAATGCATGCAATAATTCCAGACCAAAAATACAAGGCTTTGTTGAATAGCCCTCTAATGGAAAGTAACGCTGACGTGAACTTTAACAAATGCATCCTTTGGCATCCAAATTATAGAGATCAAAGCAAGAGCTTTTGACAACCCTTGAAGGGATGTAATTCTTGTTTGTGGCAAAGACCTTCTCAGCAATAATTTAGCCAACATCCTAATGACACAGATGGGGGGATTGTTGCAATCCATTGTAATGACTTGAGGTGACTTTATGCCATCGTATAAAGGCAAAAGGGTAAAAATATCCAGAACTGACAGTTCTAAGGCAGGTGAAAATTTCTGGATCAAGCTACACATTCACTGCAGTGGGGGGAGAATAAACAAGCACTCTTTCACCACTGGCCAGTGTCAAGCATTCTGAAAGCAGGCAATGTATTAAGGTCACTTAAGGTCCCAAGAGAGCCAGCTCGGCCTTTGTGTACAAGAATGTGCAAGCCAAACAAAGAGAAACGGAAGGAATGATAAGAGAATGAATTAATAAAAGAAAACTCAGGGTGGAAGAAGAGAGTGACAAGGAAAGAAAGCAGAGAGTAATGAATGGTTTGAAGTCTCGACGAAAATAACAGAACAGCTACACGTATAAATTCATCCAAGTCACCAACAAATGAGAGAAAGGAAGCCACTTGTCAAAGAGACAGTTAATAACAAGTAAAAATTATGAAAAGTTTCAAAATACCCAGAATATTAAAAGTGCTACAATTATCAGGCTGTGCGAAATCTACCTCTACAAATGGTTCTATGCGGAGTTTTGGGTGAAAATGCTAACTGAAAAGTGCTGCTTTCTATATTACCTTAATCCACCAATTTACGCAGCGAGCTGACACGCCTACACAAAATTGCTGAGACCTTTTCACCATCGTTTTGCCCAACTTTAAAAAGTCAATGATGTCTTCAGAAAGCAATAGTCAGAGATCAACCTAAAATATATAAATATTATGGACGGGTGAACGCACAGTTACTGCGGACATAATGACCGACAACAGACCACAATGAAAAGATACACGCTGTAGCGCTCATTCATAACAAGTACCCAAGGAGGGGCCAGGCTACAGAGGTTGTAGAGCCCGCTCTGAATCGCTTCCTCTTTAATCTGCCCCTAACCTGATTACACCAAGCAGCTTCACACAAAGCCAGCCCATCTGTGCATCTTGTCTGTCGTTTGCCCTCAGCATCCAGACAAAACTGCTAAAGCCCCTCATTCTCCCCGTCTGCATCCCAGTTTTTCTGCAGTACTCACATGCCATTGTCACCTCCATTTTTGAGAACGTGGCTCCAAGCTGGCCAAACCCAGCGTAGTAGAGATGAACCCTGACTACTTGCAGGGATATTGGGATGCCCAGAAAAAGATAAATCAAGCTGGCATACAGTTCCTTGAGTTTTGTATGATAAAAATAGAGTGAGCTTCAATCAAAGGTTGGCTTTGTCTAGGCGCTCATACCAATCATCCCTCTAGAGTCTGCGAGCATCTACAAGCAGCTCAGTTTATGCCCATTTCAGCGCTCAGGAGTGATTGGCCAGGCAGCACAGCTTCTGCACCCAATGGCGCTGTAACTGTACCGATCACATGGTTTATATAGAAGGGAGGGCTTTTGGAAGAAGAAGGAGAGTGGAGGGGGAGGGGGGAGGGTTATGTTTGCTTAAATAAATTCACTACATCACTACTATAGCGCTCGGATGCGCAGAAGTGGCCATTTTAAGCCAGGTGTCATTGCTGACTTCGTCAAGGCTGATTGGGTGGCGTAGACAGCTGTTTGTGAAGCACAATAGCTGTTCCATGTTGTCATGGCGAAGCAGGAACGGGAGAAATTAGAATGTGGTTGCCATGGAAACAGGCAAACCATTGCCCATCATATTTTTTTGCCCCAAGAGCATGAGCAGACTTGCTTTCTAATTCGCATCTCCTCTGACACACACACACACACACACACACACACACACACACAGACACAGATGGACAGACAATGTTTACAGGATGTGACAGGCCAATCATAGAGTGGGGGAGAGAGAGAGAGAGAGAGAGAAGGTGGGGGAGGAAAATATTGTATGTGTTTAAGGTGCGTGTGAGTCTGGAAGGATGCAGTGGATTGTGACGTGACGTCAAGTGAAATTGGTCGAGGTCTTACAGCACTAAAAGCATCAGTGAAACCTCATTATTTTTAAAACAGTCCAAATCTGTCTGGATTGAAACAAAAGCACAGCATAGAGAACATTGATAAATGCAGGCCAAAGCTGAATTATTTGTACATGCTTTCATGTCAGTGTGTGAATGTGAAGTGAAAAAAGGAAACAATTATAACTCATTCATTTGAATGATAAATGCGTTTTGTTTATTGTAAATCATTTGTAAAAAGAGGGGGTGGGGTCCATCACTACCTTGAAACTGACCCAAAATACCCATAGTATGTTCTACTAAATGCTTAACAAGTACCATAAACTGCCTCAAACTTTGGCAGACATGCAGGAAGCTATACCAAGGTGCTGTCCAAATCTTTACGAAGTGACAAAACTAACATTCCAAAACAAAAACAAAAAAAAAACCTCATGAAGCTATAAAACATTTTCTGCTGCATAATTTCTACACGTCAATTCATTGGTAAAGTCGCTGTCCTAAATATCGATAAAATCTTCAGCGTACATCTACAGCAGAAGTTTCTAGTCAGTTACATACTGATCAAACTTCATATTTCGTATTTAAAAAAAGATACTTTAAAAGCAGACGCTGATCAAGCTTTCAATCTCTTCATTCTGTTTTTGCCACAACCGATAGCTAAATGGTTTTTGTACTTGGATTTTCAGTTTTAGTGCTATGCATTTTTCCATATTTAAAAAAAAAAACAAAAACAATAATGATGCTTGAACCAATTGTACTCGTATCAGTTCGATCTTGACATTAAATTCATCAACAGCAACATTACATTCCACCTGCATGGCTTCAGACAGACTATTTCTGGGTCTGTTCTGCCAGAAACTGTCAAAAAGAAAGAACTGGGAGTTCTGATCACCAGATTAAACAGCAGCTTTAACTTTGAATCCAGCTTTTCTTTTTATATTTGCTCAAGGAATACGTATGAGAGATAAAAGCAGGTACGTTTGCTCAGATGTGTCTCTTGGTTCAAGAGAAGACTTATTCACTGTTTATTATTCAAATGTCATTAACTTAGACAATCCTTCTATATATCCAGAACATGTCTTGTCTGCCCTCGTAAATACCGTACAAACATTTAGTTTTGATTCAAACTGTATAACTTAATTTAACTTTAAATGATTAATATCAAACTGACTTTATAAACAGAGCTTTCCTGTGGCTCAGTTGGTAGAGCATTGCAAACAATGCAAAGTTTGTGGGTTTCAATCCCAGGGAAAGCAGGAACTGACAAAAATGTGTTCGTTAATTTAAATGTAACTCGCTTTGCATAAAAGCGTAAATGTAATGGTATAACTCTGATCAAGAACATACGACTGGAAACTTGCTATTCTAGAATTAGACAAAGAGGCAGAAGCTCAATCAAAAGTGCTGCCCTCACCTTATTGAAGTCTTCAGAAGTGGCTCTCATCTCTTTCCAGGTCTTGTTGAGCAGCTGGATGCAGATACAAAAGAACTCCTCGAACGAGCGGTCGTGGGTGAAAAACATAGGGTGGAAGTCATGGCAGTTCTCGCTGGCTGTGAACAACAGAGGAGGCACAAATATTCTCAAATACTTCTACAGTATCCATATGAAGTGTTATTATCGAAAAGTTTCAAGAACTTCTGACCCTGCAACAGAGAATTTAGCTAGTAGAAGTGCATCCACATGAGCTACTCAGCAGAAATGGGTGGAAATGCATTCTGATGTATCTGTATGAATGACTCTTTTAGCAGTCGAGACTACTTACCCCAAGCAATAGGCATTTAGTGTTTCAGAACACGAACAAAAGCAATTAAAAATGGCATATTTACAGCTTGTTTATTTTTCCTGGTTCTCTACCTCCCCCAAGATTATTAGTAGCCATTTAACGTTATGGAAAGCATTCTGTCATTCTTCAGACCTGTTGGTAATACTTTTGATATAAACATAGAATATCCAATCAAATTAAAAGGGTCGTATTTCAGTTCAAAACAATCAATTTCCATACCAATACCATATTTTTACAATTTAGAGGTACACAGTGTTGTAACTCCAGTGGAAAATGAAACTTGGATATATCTGTAGGCTCATATTATTCTGAACTACGCTCCATTCCAATGTAATAATCTGATGCAACGTGGCCGAAGGAAGGGTAGGGATCCAACACACTGCCTTAAAGCCATCAAATTGTCCAGCATTGTGCCTATATACTTGATTGGCCAGCAAAGTCATGTGACGTCGTCAAGAAAAGGATGAGCTAGAAAAATGGATGTCTATAAGACACAAGTAGTGCCACAGGCAGATTGTAGTATGCAGTAATTCAAGCAAGAAGAGCCCCAAAATGTATTAAGTGCTTAGAAATATATATATATATATATATCATGCTTTATAAAGTTGCATAAATCAACTCAGAATGGCTGTGTGGGAAAATAAAGTCCCGGTGAACTCTATAAAAATTGAAAGCGTCATTATTGTGTTCATAAAAAGTGACAGTCAAGGTGAAAATGAAACAGAGGCCTTTACCCTGAAGCGACACATACTACGAGTGTGTCAGCTACGCAGGCTTTAATACCAACACTAATCGAGTGGAATGGTGACTGAGAGCCACTGTTTGAGCTTCTCATTTAGATGAATTGAAGTTTCAGAGCAGTGCCAAGATCCCAGCAGAAATCCAGTAATTGCATTGGGTTGGGTGAAATTGAAACTTCACAGCATAATGAATGATTTCTAAAGGGGCAATGGGGCTCTCATTGAGGGTGGCGTCATCCCAACAATCAATCTGAGGATCGATCCTCCAAATTCTTTAATCCAGAGCCCCTTATCCAACTGATTTAGAAGTCAGAGGAGTTCAAGGGTGTACTCAAGAGGAGGACAGCACCATCTCCTCTCTCCTGCTGAGCAATGAAATGTCAGAGTCACTTTGGCTCTCACTGTTGCCCTGAGCTCACAGGTTTGGACATTAACAGTCTGACGCAACTTAAGGGTGTCAAGGTGACTGCAGTAATTTAATTCAACCAGAACATCACCTTAAAATGCATTCCATTAAAATATTCACAGCTTCAAATAATTAAATGACCCTTTGCAATCCTATCCTATTAGTCAAGCAGAAGAAATGCCGGAATAAACAGATGGTTAATGTTTTGATTTAGATTACATTTTTTTACAGTTGTACAAATCTGGGAATCGAAATCATGCAATGAGCAGACATAGATTTGAGCCGGGTTTTTAAAAAATTAAAAATCATACAATTGTTTAAGCCACATAAGTTCTTCATATTTTAAGTGTGATTGGTGAAAAAAAATGGCTGTCTCTCTCAATTAAAGTCAATTGATGGTACCAGTGTGCTACCTGTAAATTGATGTTAATTTTTAATTGCGCAGTGAGATTTTAGCTGCCTTTTTCATCACAGTACTGCACACCACACTCAAAACCACTTGAACGTCTTGCAGAGATTTTGCGTCATACTAGTTCAATTCACATAATTGACACATGACTGAGAAAGCAAATATGTGTGACGCATGGTGCAAGCAAAAAAAACAAGCTTCTTTTTAAAAGTGTTTGGAAAATGTATGAACTAACTCAACTCCTGGTAATGACATGGTTTTCTTCTTCCCACGACAGGTGCTCACTAGTACTTTGTTAACCTTTAGGGCTGAAAACCCTATATATATATATATACCTCTCTAGGGCCATGTACGGCAGATGTAAAGGTTCCACAGACACAAGAAGGTATCAGCATTTCCATAACCCTGGTGTGTTTATGAGTATGGGTCAGTATGTGACTAACAGAGGCATTAGCCACTCTTGTCTCTCTAAATCAGACGTCATCATGTTACTGCTTGATGTTCAGCTGCAGATAGTTATAAAAGACAAGGACACATCTTACACAAAGAAAACAAAGTACGGGGAAGAGATGCACACATGGCACAGAGTACATTTAGACAGTCAAGACAAGATGACAGCATCGCACAGTCTTCTTTAAGGCAAGATTTTTGATGGATTGACATATTTAAAGTGATGAATGCCACCCTTTACTAGAGACAGAGTCCTCTGTGAAGTACTCCAGTGAATTAAAATAATGAATGCTATTATGCATTGATCACTGTGTGACATCTCCTGAAGGAGAAAATGCCTAATTCAATGTCAAAGATGGAAATACAGGTTTTCTGCCAGTCCACAATTTGATCCAAAGCATTTACATTAACTGCAGAGCCGAGCTATTCTTCAGTGTGATGTGAACAAATCTTTTTTTTTTATTTCACACGATACAATAACAAAATATTGTAGTACACTATTTACATTACTTTTAGGAAACATCACCCATTTCTAAATATACTTACAAATAACAAAGGCAAGCTAATTCTTTTCAATTAAAAAAAAGTCAAATTCTTTCACAAAATGCCTCACTTGCTTATTTAATGTTGTTGATTATTTAATAATTATTTATATCCAAAAAACAAGAATAATACACAAATTTTATTTTAGAATTCTTAAAAAAAGTAATATCTTTTCCTTTTGTCAAAATAATCTTTTTGCGCTTATTAAAAACGTGTTTTTATACTTGAAGCATAAATATTTTCGTGTAGCGTATAAAATAGTTTCATTATTTACATTTAAAATCCCAAATCAACATTTCCCTATTTTATCTGATAAAACGTCAAACTTGCGAATTGATTGTGGGAATAATCAATAGTTGCCACCCAACAAGTCCATGTTATACATTTATATTTAATGATCTTTATGACACTTTCTCAAGCATCCTTTGGTTATCGTGCTTAATCAACTGAGAGCTTGGAGGAGAGGCCTACATGAATATGCAAAACCTGGCCAATCAGAGTGCAGACTTGGACTGCTTTTGATAATCAACTTGAACACCATTCAGAGTCCAATTTCGCAGAGAAAGATGCATAACAGGATAAGATGAAATGTTATTTTATATAAAATGTACTGCAAAAAAACAATGCTTTTATTTGTGTAGTAGGACCTCCATTGATAATAAAAAGAAAAAAATAGAACTCATAATCCACTTTTAAAAAAAGTCACCTGATTATTAGATTCCAATGATTCACAATAGCCACTATAGACATTACAGTCGCGGAAAATCTCTACCATGAATATGTTTTGGAGTTTTTGAGGCTAAGTGCATACAGAAATCAGCTGAATCTAATTTTTATTAAAACACATGTACCACACACAGTCAAAAGATTTTTTTTTTTTTCAACTTTCATCAAACATTTTTGTTTTAAAAATCTGGTTTTATCTAAGCAAGGCTTGCCCACGGTGGGCTCCATGTGGTCATTCTAAAAAAGTGTGCCCTATCTCAGCAGGGAACTGATTATAGTGCAGCAGCAATGTCAAAAACTATTCAAGAGGTGTGAGAGAGCATGGACACTTGCTTGCAATCCCATCTTTGATTCTGGTAACCCAAAAACCACACAAAAGTAAAGATATATATATACCAGCTCTATGCCATTATACCGCCTATTTGTAGATGAATACATTCTATATATACACCTGTTCCTAAAGGATTTCTATTTATTAGGCAAGTTTATTCATACTGCAGGGTTGAAATGCACCACTATGTTGCTTCGTGAAAGACCATAAATTCCCATTTCTCCACTATACCCCATTCTTCTCATAAATATTATATAATGCTTTTTAAAAGCAGAAATTGAAAGTCTGACCACTGCAGGTTCCATTAAAGCTTTTTGCAGAAAAAAAAATGTTGATGCTATAAAAAGTTTCAATGCTTTCCTCATCGAGGTAAAGCAGGGACACCTTGGTTCCTGGTGAATAATTCATGACTAAAGTGCTGCTTAAACAGAAACTGTTGTATAAGAGATAGATCAAGAATTTTAACATGATGTGGCCTCTGAAAAAAATGGCAATCACTGATCGGATCAAAGGGATATTGGAGCTGAATTCTTAGCCTGCAACAATGCGTTTTCATAGTTATTGAAGATAAATTATGCTCTAAATGTAACCAAAATGTTCTAAATATTACTGGAATAGTAGACACCATAGCTGGTGTGTATGCAGCCTCCCACTGTTGACGTCAGGCTATATAATGTTATCCTCACTGGAACATTACATGAACACTTACACAGGACAAAAACATTTTTATGAAAGCCAATTTTCTCTAAATTATTAACTCTAAAGAAATGTTGATGTGCAAATAATCTGCGTACGTTTGGTTGCTTTTTGATCGATAGTGGTCAAACTCTAGATTCTCTAACTTAGAAAACAAATAAAATGTCATAA